TTGAATGTAGGTGAAGAAATACTTACATGGCTAAAAAAAGATGTCCAATAGAGATTATTCTAAAATACTTTCAGAGGGAAAGAAAGACTTGTCAGTTCCAAATAGCTGCATTGTAAATATTATATTTATTTCCTAAGGGGATAATTTATTAAGCATCACAGAAAACCCCAAAGTTTATAAAATGATCATTACTGATTTATTCATTTGAAGTGGTATAACTTCAACAGATCTCAGTAACAAAGTGCAACTTGAAACTTACATACATGCAAAAGAAACTCAGTCTCCTTTTCTGAAAGCTGAAAAAAGGCTCAAATTCATTGCCCAGTTGCTTAAGAAATTATCTCTCTTTCATTCTTCCTAAGACGTCATTTTGATTTCAAATTTTTAAAAATCAAACTATGATACACGCTAGTTAAAATGGGTTCATTCTAATTGGGCTTATATATGCCGTTCATCTTACAGTAAAAATAAACCACGTAAACTTTTAATTAAATAAGCACACAATTTAATTTACCCTATTGCATATGCACATTCTTATCTCTCTACTCTTCAGTTCTGTGCCAGCAGCCCCCACCCTCTCCATACTGGAAAACAAACAAACCAAAAAATAAACAAACAAACTATACGTAAAACACATACAGAAAGGGCATGTTAGTTAAGAAGTTTTAGTCAACCCACTACTAGAAAATTGCTCTTTAGTATAATCTGTAAAAGACTACAAATGTACCGTTAACAACGTCCAGCATTAAAGGAGAATAGTTTGAAATATGTATTAGTCAAGCAAGTTGAGTAAGTAGCAAGTGAAAAATAGACACAAAAAACCCAACAGGAGTTTCAAATTTGCAGAATCAGAATTAGTCTCATGATTTCACAATTATTTAGCCAACATTATTTTTAAGGACCGGTATGATTTATTTAGTTCACTTCTTGTTGCTAATTCAAAAGTAGTGGCTTCCCACTTAACAATTGCTAGTATTAGTAGTGAAATGTTTTACTATTCCATGCAGGATATATCTTTATAAGTTGTCGATTTTTCCCTTTAATTCCCATTGAGAACTAAATAAACACTAATAAGAACAGTGAGAATTCTAGGGTAAAGTGAAACTCAGAAAAGGATTTAAATAATTCCAATAGCTCTTCATAGTGCTTCTCGATGTAAGAGATAAGGAATACTACATGATTCCGTACCAAAAATACTTTGGTTTTTTTATCAGTGTTATTCTGGGTCATGTGTGTATTCCTTAAGTTTGTATGACATCTAAAAGAAAAGTGATATTTTGTCTAATAGGAGCTTTTGCAATAGTAAGATGGACAACAAAGAATTAGTTTCCAAGAAAAGTTGGCTTGATTTCAGGGACTTTATTTCCTTTTCCACACCTGGGTTTAGGATCTGAAGTAGGCAAATCAATCTTTTTTCCCCCTAATTTAACCAATCCCAAGTGCATTTGTAGCCACAGATCTTTAAAAATCAGAATTACTGAAATCTGTACAATTAACTGTTTAAAAATCTAAATTCTCAGTGTAGAAAATTCATTAAAATAAGGTAAGCTTGTTTAAATTTTCAGGGAAATTCACTAATTTAAAGTGTGTCAACTAGGTAATTAAGGATCCAAGAAGGTAGAAAGACAGATTGTCACAAAGTTATTGTTACATTATTTAATAATTTTTATAAACTATTTTGTCATAATGGAAAAAGGGAAAGGATTTTTATTCTTATGACTACTTGCAACCCTCCATTCTGACCTTTTTATACTGTCATTGCCTTTTCCACAAGTAGGAGGATAATGTAAGTGGAAGGATTTGTAAAGAGCTTAAAAAAAATAACCTCAATATCTAACTAGCTTAAATTAAAGTCTAGAGCACCCAAAGGATATAAGTCATGCATTGTGAGGCAAGAGATCACAGAGACAGAATGAACAAACACTTGTACAACTATCGGTTTATCACCACTAACCTGCATGAACATATGGTCACTGAAGAGTTATTTAAAATTCAAACTGCAGCTAAGTTCTATTTTCTAAGTCAGTATTTTAAAAAATGTATTTTGTTAATTAAAAATTGAAATTATAGTACCTTTGTCAATCCTATTTCATTTAATAGAACTTTCCCTCTGGAGGGAAAATATTACAAGAGATTTCTTTTAGAAATGCAAGGCTTTCAAAAATTAAAAATACCAGAAAATGGTATTTTTTCCCCCACCTACAATAAAAATAATATACAACTACACTGGAAAATAAAATCAGTTGTTTTTTTTTTTTATTTCTTCCTTTTATATGTTGGTCGGAATTCACTGTTGAACCTATCAAACAACACTGAAAAAAGATTTCTGAAACTGGTGACAAAAATTAATTTACAAGTTAGGATATATGGTATCATTAAGCTTCCAAATTAATAGCAAAAATTCTAGCATTTATAAAGTAACACTACAAAATCATTTCAAGACTATATTTTTATTGTGTTGCAACCTGACTTTCAATCATGCAACAACAAAAATACATGTACTTAAGTGTCACTGTGGGTTGCATGGCTGTAGCATAAGAGCATCTTGTCCTCCTTGAACCCCATTCCAGATATTCCACAAGTTGAAGGAGAGAAGTCTTAGGATTAGGCCTACAGAGTGTGATCCTAGGCCTACAGAGTATAATCCACATTCCACTTCTAAACTGTACAGAATAAAAGAGTTTTTGTGTACCTGTCTGCCCACAGAAAAGCAACAGATATTAGAAACAACTGCATATATTTTTTTCCTGGCAACTAGCATTTCAAATATTATTTTAAATCAACTTTTAAAAGATTAAAAAAAGGAAAAAAGAAAGAAAAAGAAGAAACCAAACTCTTGTTGAGAAATACATAAGGATATTTGTCTGTAAAAATATTTTCAGGACACTTTTCATTTAGAAAATGGTATACTGTTTTCAAGTCCTTGAAGCTTAAAATATATTTGGTAATCTAAATAGCAGGACGCAGAGAACAGTTTCAGCCAACTGTGGCACACAATGGCACATTTACAGAATTTTAAGTATTTCTTTTAATAATTGATGTAGTCATTTTGAATCATTCTGCATAGGATATCAGGTGTGAGCAGATTGCATTAACGCTGCTTAAACATTTCAACTTGTCAGTATGGCCAACTCGATTTCGGAAATATTTGCAGTATTTTCCCATCGAAACAGTAATAAAGGCAAAATAAATATATGCCACTACTTTATAATCACCGAACATTAATGAATATTTTATGTCTTTTTAAATCTCCCTGTTTAATTTAAAAGGGTGAAATTAAGTCTCCTCCCTGCAATATGCCAATTATCTGTAAATCAAACAATAACTTGGCTATTATGCTCCTTTTTGTTAATATAAGAGAAGCTAATTTGAAAACACTGAACGGCATTTTTAGACTATCAGTTTAATAGTCCTCTCTGCCCCCTTGTGGGAGAAAGTTGAAACACACTCAAACTATAGAAACTGGAAATGTTAAAACAAAAATGCAAAAAAACAAAAAAATGTAAAATTCTGGCTGTAAATATTGCAATCAGAAAAAAAAAAAATAAGGCAGTCTATATGTACCCTTCATGCGATATACTACTCTTCAACTTAAAAAAGGAAATCAACAACAGAATGAAATTTACCTATTATCTTTGCTGTTCTTGATTAAACTGGGGTTATTTATTTTGAAACTGAATTCCTTATTTAATTTTATTCAATATATAATTTAAATTTCATAATCATGAGGCTCCCAGAATAACTCTGTGATAGGGCCAGAGTTAAACATTATTTTTAATATAAAAACGACAATGATTCTTCAATGAATTAAAATTTTAAATTTAGAGAACAGAACATCCATTATAGAGATTAAAAATGAAATGGCAATTAATATATTTAAAATCCTGAAAAAAATCAAATAATTTAAACCTATGATTCAAATTAGGGACCAAGAAAAATCTTAAAGATCTTAGTTACTAGTCAACAAACTATTCAAGTGATAAACAGAGAAAATAAACTTCAAGTAATGAGTTATTTACGCCAAATTCAGAAGTTGAAATTTATTGATAAAACATGAAAAAAGAAAAACCATTAACAGTCATTACTGAAATAATTCATATACTTCCGAAAAATGATTAGGATGAAAACAACTTGTTCTTTCAATATGACATTAGTAATTAGTTGAAGCAATGTAGTCCAAGAAAAAATTTATGAAATAATCTAAGATTAAACAAGATTAATTTTCTTTATAAAAACATGAGTGGACAATGACTCTTGTCTTCATAATTTACAAGGGGTATTGTGACATAATCATCATTTCACTGTCTCTAAACACAAGTCTTGTCACATAGCCTTATACATTTTCCCCCCCAAAGCAGATAAATTACTAGCTTTTAGGTGGGTGGGGCCACAGACAAGAAGTTACCTCTTCTCTCTTGGGGGAGGTTCTTTTTGAAACAGTGGCCCTGGTTGGTCACATTGATGAAAATATTTACACTATACATAGATTCTTCTTAGATACCCTGAGCTAAATGACTGGGTTCCCTACAGCATCTCACGAATACTGCCCAAGGCTGGAATTCAACTGCTTAAGAAAAGCCTCCTCAATTCCTTTTGGAAATAGGCAGGATACACACTATAAATAATATGTTTGAGAGCAACCTTTCAAATAAAGTATACGCATGTTCGAAAATGCACGCTGTCGATAATCTCCAAATTAATATTCTGAATAACTACTATAAAACTATGAAATATGTAACAATGTGTTTTTTTTTAAGCAGGGTTTTAAAAGTTGACTATTTTAAGAATTATCAAGAGCTTTCATTTACAACATCTATCTTTCTAGGTCAAGTCATTTAATGTATCTATAGTAATCACTGATGCTCAAGTTAATTAAAATTAAAAACCCAATAATGAAACATAAAGAGAGTTTCCAACCAGAACACATAAGCCCTCTTTAACAGGGTCAACATTAGCTATAATGAGCTACCTTTATTCCTTAGCTGTGAGACATAACTCACCTCTTGAATGGTACTGCTTCCTGAGAAGTTCAGGTTGTACTCCCGCTGGACTTCTCGGTGGGTGATGATCAGCATGAAGTTTTGATTTAATGACTCCTGCAGGGCACTGAAAGGGCTGAAAGAGAAACAAGGAACTCTGAGATGAACAAGTTCTAGCTTGCTTTATGGTTAGCTGAAAAAACCCCAGGAGTACCATAACCTCCACACAGGCATGTCCGGGCCCAATGTTATCATCTTTTCAGCTCCTAAAGGCAAGAGAGCAAGCTGAGAACAACCAAGGGGAGTTAACCTGTTAACTCCTTCTCTACCAAGGTGTTTTTAAACTTCAGTTATAAATACTTTGCATACATAAGAATTTCGACAAGTCATGTGCTGCTGTCTGCATATGTATTTTCTCCAAGAGAAGCAAATTTGTCAATTATATTAAATTCCAAATATGCTACTAAAATGTATACCCAAAAACTCTGGTTCAATTCCAAATGAAACAGCAGTTCTGGAAGAACAGAAATTTGAAACTATTGTTTATACTCATGAGTGTCATATAGGTATACAAATGCAGTTTCAGTAAAAATTGAGAAAGTATGGAAATCTATAGAACTTTAATTGCTATACCGAAATTCCTTCAAAATAATTGTGCTTTCACTTACAAGTCAGAAATACCGAGAATTCAGAAACTGGAGAATTCAGAGCAATATTAAACTCTGTGCCAAAGTTCCAAAATGTAAGAAATGTGTCAGAAACATGAAGAATAAATGAATTTAGCCACATCAATTAAGAAAAATAGGCCATGGTTCTATTTGTTTATAATATTAAAAAGCACCATTGGCAATGAAAATAAAAATCTGTCACCATTATGTATGAACAATCTGTATTGCTAGTCTCAAGTGTAGTGCTAGTCTCTCTTCCATGCTATGCTTTAGAAGCAAAAAAAATATACGGTTCTGGCCTTCATCACTCCTCCTTTGCCAATATGTAACTATGTGATAAATATAAATGCAACATAAGATTAGAATTAGGCAGTTAATCTGTGTGTCCCAGTGTCACCCATCGAGTTCACAGGTAAATTACAGATTCAAAATACCTAGGAAACACCTATATACAGCATGAAATATTATTGATCAAAGTCAAGGGAAATAATACCCCACTAAAATAGAGTTTCTTCAGTCAGGGACCTTTGTGTTTGATCCTTACCACTTAAAGCATAATGCCTGGCACACTGCAGATAAATATTTATTTAATAATGAATAAACTGTAAATTTTCAGAAGGCAAGAGTCTTACTCATATCTGTATTTTACACAGTAATGCTGCCTTCTGGAAAACTACCATGGGAATTAAGATTTTGATTTTGATTCACTTATTTATCTACATTAACTGAATGCCTCGCATTATTCCAGATGCGAAGGAAACCAACCCAAATAATACACAGTTCCTGTCCATGAAAACCTTCACAATCTAATGAGGGTAGACAGACACGTAGACAGTCATAGTATAAAGTGATAGATACAACTGAGAAATTCAAAAAACATACAATGAAAACCAAGAAGGAAGTGCTTAACTTTGCCTCAGTGAGAGGGGGAAAGGGTTAAGGGAAAGCTTCAGAGGAGAATAAAAATATAAATTGAAATATAAAGGATAAGTAGGACCTTAGAGTTTATTAATTGGAAGGGACTAAATTTTTGTTTTATTTGGGGAAAGGAGATGGGTGGCACTTTTTAGACTAGGAAATAATAAATGGAAGAACGCAGCATGTTCATTCACTCAGTTAACATATATTTATTGAGCACATACCTATGTTTATGACACTGTTCCAGTTGCTAGGGACACAGTTATGACAAAAAAAAAATGGTCCCTGCTTTCATGAAACTTATATTCTAGTAAAAGAAACAATACTCAAGTAAACGAATAAGTAACTTTAGAGAATGCTAAGTGCTATGAAGAAAATAAACAATATTATAAAAGGTATCAGAGGGGTGGGGGGAAGGAAATTATTTTCAACATAATAGTTGGGGAAGACATCTCTGAGGAAATGACATTTAAGTTGAGGCTAGTATAAGAAAGAGAGAGCAGGAATCTGATCATGTAGGTCCTTGTAGACCACGGTAAAGGACTTGGTATTTATAGTAATTGCAAAGGAAAGCCATTGGAAGGTTTTACACTGGGAAATGGTTAAGATCTGATTTACACGTACATTTATACAACATTATTCTGGTTGCTCTGGCTACAGTGGGAAAAGAGTCAAGGCAGGGCTAGTCCCAGCAAGAAGTGATGGTGGCTTACGCTAACTATAGAGGCAGAGAGTGAAGAGTTGTCAGGTTCAGATATATTTTAGAGGTAGAAGCCAGACAACTTACTGATGGAATGTGAGAGAAAAACAAAACTCTAAGGTGGTCGGAGCAAGTGGAGAGATGGAATTGCATTTAACAAGGAAAACTGGGTTAAGAACAGGTTAGGTAGAAAGTTTGAGAGTGAAGTTATGTATATATCAAAGTTTAAGGTGCCTATTAGAGATCCAAAAAGAGATATCATGTATAGCTGTGTATAAGAGTTGAGGGTCAAGTAAGAGAGCTCGGAGCAGGAGAATCGACAGCACATACAGGAACCTGGCCCCCCACCCCGCCCCCCTTATCTTCAGTTTCCGTTTCTGCAATTTCAGTTACCTGCAGTTAACCAAAGTCTGAAAACATTAAATGGAAAATTACAAAAATAAACAATTCATAAATTTTAAATTGCAGGCTGTTCTGAGTAGAGTGATGAAATCTCACGCCCTCCTGATCCATCCTACCTGGGCCATGAATCATCCCTATGTCCAGAATACCCTGCCCCTTAGTCACTTAGCAGTTATCTTGGTTATCAGATAGACTATCATAGTGCTTGTATTCAAGCAACCCTTATTTTACTTAATAATAGCCCCAAAGCACAAGAGTAGTGATTCTGGCAATTTGGATATGCCAAAGAGGAGCCATAAAGTGCTTCCTTTAAGTGAAAAGGTGAAAGTTAAAAAAAAATTGTACGCTGAGGTTAAGATCAACAGTAAGAATGAATCTTCTACCAATGAAATTGTGAAGGAAAAAGAATTCTGTGCTAGTTTTGCTGTCTCACCGCTACATGGAAAAGTTATGGCTACAGTGCATGATAAGTGCTTAATTAAGATGGAAAAGGCATCGTATTTGTACAGTAAGATATTTTGAGAGAGAGAAAGTCTGCATTCACATAATTTTTACTATAGTACGTTGTTATAAATTTTCTATTATTAGTTATTGTTGTTCATCTTTTACTGTGCCTAAGTTATAAATTAAACTTTATCATAGGTATGTATGTATAGGCATACCTCATTATATTGCACTCTGCTTTATTTCGTTTCACAGACTGTGGTTTTTACAAGTTGAAGGTTTGTGGCAACCCTGCACTGAGCAAGACTATTGGCATCATTTTTCCAACAGCATTATTTTTTAATTAAGGTATGTACATTGTTTTTTTTAGACATAACGCTGTTGAACACTTAATGGGCTACAGTATAGTGCAAACATAAGTTTACATGCACTGGGAAACCAAAAATTCATGTGACTAACTTTATTACAATATTTGCTTTATCGCAGTGGTCTGAAATTGAATCCACAATATCTCTGGGGTGTATGCCTGTATAGGGAAAAATATACTATACGTAGAATATGGTACTCTCTGTGGTTTCAGGCTTCCACTGGGGGTCTTGAAATGTATTCCCCATGGAGAGGGGGACTACTACAGATAGTATATAGATTTTGTAGCCAAATGAAATCACCTAGGCAAACAGGGCTCTCCTCCCAAATACTGCACAGCTTTCAGACTACCTCATGTCCTACCATTAGTATTATTATAGACTGCCTCTTCTCTGAATTCATGTATCATATCCCTTATTTAATATTTATTTATAGTGTGTTTTGTATGGTTTGCTTTGTTGCACGTGTGGAAGTCCTGAATTCAAGACTACAAGCCTTTTGAGAGTAAGTATCTTTATTATTCACCTGTATTTCCCTTGACACTTAGCATACTAAAAGGTGATTCAAGGCAATCCTATAAACACTTAAGGAATAGTTCTGCATATTTGGAACTCCGTATAAAGAATGACTAATTCTCATTTTTTAAGCCTACCTTTGAAGTGCCATTTTACTCACAAAATTGTAGTTCAGAAAGGTTAAGTAATTTCCCAAGGTTATGCAGCTATAAAAAGATGGAAGCCAGTTTTTAAACTATATTTGATTCTATGTTCTTCAGCACCCTATCTCCCAAATGGCTAGGCTGCTTTAGGGATAGAAAGATGAGTAAGACCCTGCCTACTAGGAGTTCACAATTCATCCATTCTTTCTATAATTATTTGATTCTTATTTGTAATAATACAGGAATCAAAGATATAATCACTGACCTCAAGACAGACTATTCTGAGAGTTAAAACAGATGTGAGGATTGTAGAGAAGAAAAAGAGTACTTTGAAGTACTATGAAGAAGAATGGATAGTAAGGGAGGGTGGGAGGGAGGGAGACACAAGAGGGAAGAGATATAGGAACATATGTGTATGTATAACTGATTCACTTTGTTAAAAAGCAGAAACTAACACACCATTGTTAAAGCAATTATACTCCAATAAAGATGTTAAAAAAAAAAGGATGGATTGTAATTTGACAAGTATATAATAGAGGTGATTTCAGACACAGACTAGTTTGAGCAGAGATGAGATTGGAGAATACAGGGAAGGGTGGAGAAAGCAATGAGGAAGAAGTATAAGGGGATGTAAAGAAGGGTTTCTGAAAGAGGAAACTTGAAAAATGTTAAAGACCAACATTATGGGGGCTTCAAATGCTGGGCTAAGGAGCTCAGAATTCCAGAAGTCTTGATTATTACATAGATAGATCCTCCTTTATCTTTACATATGAATCTATACAAATGCTTAATACCTTTAGTGCTTTCCTTTATGCAGTTCCTTAGATATGTTTCTTGATGTTGACTGGTAGACTTGTGCAATAACTTTGTAGAAAGGTTTGCCAGGACCAGCACTGACTGCCAAACTACGTTAGAAGAACACCAATTTAGTCTAGTTCTGTAATTTCCCAGGAGCCCTGGGGAAGGGTAAGTTTGGCAAG